TTGACATGAACAATTTCTGTCAGGTCAGAGCCAGCTAGAACGATATCATCAACATAAACCAATAAAACGGTAATATGAATAGAAGTTTTCTTGACAAACAGAGAGTAATCGGACCTAGATTGCACATAACCAAGAGCAACTAAGGAAGAAGTAAGCATAGCATTCCATTGTCTGCTAGCTTGCTTAAGTCCATATAGACTTTTTAGTAACTTGCAAACCTGTGTAGGTTGTGCAGCCTGATAACCCTGAGGTAATGACATATACACCTCCTCTTCTAGATTCCCATGCAAAAAGGCATTGTTTACATCGAGTTGATGAAGGTACCAGTTATGTACAGTAGCCATTGCCAAAACTAATCTGAATGTGGTCATCTTCACAACAGGAGAGAAAGTCTCAAAGTAATCCAAGCCATGCTCTTATGTGTAACCTTTAGCCACCAAACGAGCCTTATATCTTTCGATGGTGCCATCAGCAAACCTTTTAATTTTAAACACCCATTTGCAACCTATGGGTTTCTTCCCTGGAGGTAAATCAGTAAGGATCCAGGTCTTAGTAGTCTCAAGAGCTTGGATCTCCAAATTCATAGCTTGTCTCCATTCCTCTGACTTAACTGCCTGAGAATAACTCCTTGGCTCAACAACCTGAGAGATTGACAAGGTATAGGCCCTATGTGATGAAGACAAGTGATCATAAGACACAAAGTTTGTTAGTGGATACAACACATTGGGAGATTGAGAAACCTGAGAATTCTGAGAAGGAACCAAAGCAAGATTACAATGATAATCTTGTAAGTAAGCAGGTTTGGTTTTGGGTCTAGAAGAAGATCTGAGAACAGGTTGTGGAGGTAGAGCAGGTTCAGGGTGTGGTAATTGTTCATCAGATAAAGAAGGAGAATAAGAGCTGGTAGGTAAAACCAAAGGATTTAGGGAAGTCACATTATGATCCTTGTCAAGATGCTGAAAAGGAAACATATTCTCATAAAAAATAACATGCCTTGACAAAAAAACCTGTCTTGTTCCCAAATCCATGAGTAAAAAACCTTTAACTCCTTCTTTCAAACCAAGTAAGATGCATTTTCTTGCTCTAGGTTTAAACTTAGTTCTATGAGCAAGTAAAGTAGTGGCATAACAAAGAGAGCCAAAAACTCTTAAGGAAGAGATATCAGGTTTGGTGTTAAAAAGAATTTGATATGGTGAAGCATTTTGCAAAACTTTTGTTGGTAGAACATTAATGATATACACTGCATGACTTACAACATATGACCAAAACTCAAGAGATAAATTGGATTGGAAAAGCAAAGCACGAGACACATTTAATATGTGTTGGTGTTTGCGTTCCACAATCCCATTTTGCTGTGGGGTTTCCACACAAGTCAATTGATGTTGTATCCCATGCAAGTTGTAGAAATCACACATTGAAAATTCAACACCATTATCACTTCTAACAATTTTCACAGATTTCTGAAATTGAGTTTTCACAAAAACAATAAAACTCTTTAAAGAAGGACGAGTTGCAGCTTTTGTATCAAGAAATTTTACCCAAGTATAACGGGATTTATCATCAACAATAGTTAAGAAAAACCTTGCACCAGTAATAGATGGAACACTATATGGTCCCCATATATCCACATGCAATAGATCAAACACATTTTCTGAAAGTGTAGTACTCAATGTAAAAGGCAATTTCTTTTGTTTTGCAAAATGACAAGTCTCACAGTGTTTATTAACAGTGGAAGATACAGCAGGATACATGGAATGTAAAATGTGATAACAGGAGAGAGAGGGATGGCCAAATCTATAATGCCAAATATTAGGCATACTAACTGGTGCAGAAACAACATTATTCACAGAATGAAAAGTAGACAAAGGCTTAACAGTATGAAGAGGTGGTAAATCCATGATATAAAGTCCCTTGCGATTCTCAGCTTTCCCAATCATCTTCAATGTGATTGTGTCCTGAATATAACAAGCAGAGTGAGTGAAGAGCACATTACATTGAAGTTGCTTGGTAAGTTTATCAATAGACACTAAGTTTACTGAAAACTCAAGAACATATAACACATTATACAATGTCAAAGTAGGTGTCAAGTATATAGTTCCTATATGACGAGCATAAGCATGTTGGCCATTTGGTAATTTAACAAATACTGGAGGTATAGCTCTATAAGAAGAGAACAAATGAAGAGAGCTAGCAAAGTGATCAGTTGCACCACAATCCATGATCCACCTTACAAATAAGTTACCTAAGGCCCTTGTGGGAGCAAGAGGGTTGTTCAGCAGATTGCAAACATATTTACCTAATTCAGATGCTTGAATCTGATGATTGCTCACAAGATTGGAAGCATGAGGAGTAGCAGTAGGTGTATGCTGAGGTAGAAGAGCCAGAAGACTCTGAAATTGCTCCCTTGTAAACTCCATAGATGAAGAGGAAAGACCCTGCTCAGATTGGTCAACAGAACCACCCCCAGAAGATACATGATTGACTTTCTTAGGCTTATACCCATTGGGAAAATCAGGAGGATAACCATGCTTCATGAAGCAAGTATCCACAGTATGATTATTCCTCCCACAGTGTGTACAATGTCTCTGGCCAGGAGACTTAGCTTGACCCTTAGAATAAAATGGCTTTCCCCTGCCATATCCAAAACCATTGGAACTTGTAGAACCATTAGATGGTGAAGCTTGCACTGCTAAAGCTGAGGGCTCAGCAAGTATACCAATTGACAATTGCCGCTCATGCTGAATTATCATTGAAAAAATCTTGGATAAATTTGGTAAAGGCTCCATCAGAAGAATCTGAGACCTCACAGCAGCATAGTTATCATTCAATCCACGCAGAAAACAAAGAACACAATCATTGTCCCTATACTCTTGCAGTTTCTTCACAGAATTACAGCAACAAGAGTTTGGTGTTGAACACAAGGGAATTGGGCGATAATTGCATAACTCATCCCACAGAATTTTTAACTTTGTATAGTAGGCAGTAACTGTAAGATCAGATTGTTGTAAAGTATACAAGTCAGAATGGATTTGAGAGATTCTTACTGAGTCGCCTTGAGAGAAACGGTTCTTCAAGTCCTGCCAAGCACCAGAAGCTTTATCAATCCATATGATGCTTGTTGCAATCTCCTGAGACACGGAATGATTAATCCAAGAAAGCACCAAATTGTTGCATCGCTTCCACGCTGGAAGAATCGGATCTGTATCAGTAGGACGAGGGATAGAACCATCTGCAAACCCAAATTTGTTCTTCATTTGCAGAGACATTTCCATTTCTCTCGCCCAAGCATGGTAATTGTGTCCTTCAAGAATTGGAGACACCAAAACTAGAGACGGATTTTCATTCGGGTGAATGTAATAATCGTGTGTGACATCTTGCAAATTCGCAAGAGTTACAGGAGCACGAGCCGCCATTGAAGAGAAAAACAGAGATGAAGAATCGTGCAGGAATCACAATCGCAAAAATTAGGAGCAGAATCGCACAATCGCAGAATTGCAATCGCAGAAACTTAAGAAACCCAGAAATTGAACTCTGGAAGAAGAAACGTTTCACAAATTTACTGAACAATCAAAGAAATTGTACAGAAAAATCAATGAAAACGAAGAGAAATCATCAAGAAAAAACGATGAATCTGATGAGAATGCATCGTGAGAACGATGAAAGAGAAAAGATGCGGAAAAGTTTCAAGAAATTTCAGAGAAAAATCTGATACCATGTTAACTGATGAAATAGAATGAAATCCATCTTACTTTCCATTCATGTGTAGGATTATTTATACAAGCACTAATCAGAAAACAAACTACAACTAATCTAACTAATTCAGTTAGATTCTAAACTAACTCTAACAACCTTGCTGACTCAGCAAGTATACAATAAATAATACATGAATAATCAATCTCTATTATATATCTCGGTTTTGGACAAATTTTTGTCTTGATTTTGTGTGGATTTTTTCCCAAAATAAATTGGTTATTGAATCTAAAATTAATTGACTTTATTTATATATGTTTTTGAGAAATTGAAAAAATGATAACATGAATGACAAATAATTAATAGAAAGTTGCCAATTTCATGGTAGGAAGATTGAGACAAAAAAATAAGCAATATGAATTTGAAGATTTTGAACAACGTTTTTTTCCTAGAAACTATGGTGTCGGTTTGGATAAACTCTTGAATTTGTTTTCTTGAGAATACTTGGAAGTTTCTGAAATTTCAAGATTAAAGCACCTTTAAAGATGTTTGTAAAAAATCCCATAGTTGTATTCTAGTACATTGAAATGACAAATTTTATACATTTAGAAACTATTTATTTATTTTATAGACCTCAAAAACTAAATTGAAGAAATTATTAAAGTGAGTAGTGACCAGTTTAGTGGTCCACACGGGTTCCTTCCTTCTTTCACAAACGCCAAAGAAAGTGGGGCAAGTTAAAGGACCACCGTACGACATGACATCATATTAATTAACCATTGATTCCTTTGTTTCATGTCGAGGCTACTTACTCAATGCTACTTGTTTATTTTATCTAATCCAATTTGTTGTCATTTTTCTTTTCTATATTTTATAGGTCTAAAATTATACATGTACGAATGATGATAGTGATGCTGGATAGTTAGTGCAAATATCGGGGAAGTTGAAGGTGGGGGATATATATAGATGGAGGATAGTCTTTTGTTGATCATGATAATGGTGATGTCGGTCTATAGGGGGAGATATCTTACCAAAGTCAACTCAGTCATGATATAATATAAAGAGTTAAATATGTTTTTATTTTTATGAATTATTAAATTTTATTGTTAGTTTTTATAAAAAAAATCGGTATGTTTTAATTCTTATAAAGTTATTATGCAAGTACTGTTAAATTGATATGGATTTTTTAATAATTATTTTGCAGACATGTTTAAAACGTTATAAAAAAAATTTCGAAAAAAAACAAACTTAAAATTTGATTTCTAAATTGAGATTTCTAAACGTTATAACAGGAGGCCGGAAGAAAGGAGTTAGACAATCCTCCTCACTAGTTTGGGAGGACCTACTTCAACAGGAGTGGATAAACTATAACCCTGACCCCTCTTGGTAGGGTAAGAAGAAGGTGAAGGTCCCCGAGCAGATAAACCAGTTGTGGTAGTAACCGGATGACCTATTTTAGGAGTTGGAACCAAGACACTAGTTTCAAAAACCTCTGGGACAGTTACCACAACAAGAATCCTAGCCTCTAGAATAGAAGTAAATGCGACAACAGGTGTCGCTGGAACCAAGATGGACAAGCCCACAGTAAGGCCCTGATCATTCGTGAGCGCCATAGATTTATGCAATAGACTCAACTGATTCATGTTATCTGTAAAATTACAAGTTGCAAAGTTAAAAAAAGGGGAGCGTCTGGATCCTCATCCTTACCAAAGAGTTTTTGTATCTCAGAATGTTCACATGCATTAATGATCACACAAGTATCCATTCACATTTTCTTTTGCTGGAATAAAAGTACTTCACCAGGAGCAAACTCTTCTTCATTTCCGAGTCTTTAATACCATACATGTAAATCCTCTTTCATTTTCACTTTCTCATAAGGAAGAGAAGTTGTCTTGGAATGGTAAGCATGGATAGGTCGGTAGAAATGAACTTTGGACCAGTATTTCCAAAAACCACCTATGTAAGAGCGGACGATCCCTGACTAATCCAAAGATAAGCATAAATCCATATGTGCCTCATAAGTGGAGGGTTTCACCAATAATAAACACTCTAGAGAATCCCCCAGCCAGAAGCGAAAGAGTTAAACCAAGGTATTGGAGGATGAAAGTAGATTAATCCTTGATCCTGAGCACTATCCGGCGAAGTATGAGCTACAGACAAAAGGTCGAAGAAGAGCCCTAATGAAGGTTTATAAGACTTGTACCTGACACAAAGCTGGAACACAACCGTGAAGCCCTATACTTCATGATGAAGCTGCGAGGGGCAACTTTTAGATGGTTCATCACAACCACCTCAAAGTTAGAGAAGGGAACACATATTCCCAACCTGGTGAAGAGACACTCATACAAGGGAATTGAGCAACCTTCAAAAGAGATGCATACCCTCTCATTCGAAACTACTGGCAGAATTGGCCAATATAGGGAATTGTCAATTGTAATGTTGGCCTAGGTTACAACTTTGATGTTGTCCAAGACATAAGGAGTCCCGACTATTTTGGCAGATACCCAATGGCACATATTTGTATTGGTCGGTTATATTAATTGAATACCCTTATAGGCCAATACATCATATTTATGATGATCATAGATATTGACACTTGACATGGCATCATGTCACCCTTGGCACTCTATTTTACGAGAAATTTCAGCGTCATTGGGGTCAATGACCAGTTGACTCCTGGTATGTTTTCATAAAGTGATTGACATGTTCCCTCCTTTAATGGAAAACCTCTATTTCTGCCTTGGTCAAGACAAGAGGAGGCATCGGTCTCCCGAAAATGTTTTTCACCCTCGTCGGATTTCACATGAAATAGAGATTTTGAAGTATTCATAGAGAGCTTCCATCTCCAGATAACTCTTCCATCTTCAAATCATCACTCAAAATGATTATTCCTAATTCAATACCCCCACTGGCAGAGGGAAAAGAATGTGATTCATACTTCATTCCCATTTTCGAAGACGAAGAAACACTAACCTTTGAGTCACTCTCGATGATAATAGGGTTACCACTCATCATAAGCAAAATGCGATCAAAAATTGAAGTAAAAGCTAAGGAGAAGAGAAGGTACCTTGAAATGGGAGGGCGAAGGTACTGAAAACAAGGAAGGGAGCTGAAATATCAAATTGTTAAAGCTTTAAAATTATGAACCTGTGACGACGGTTACTCTGAAAAGAAAATGCTCTCAGATAAGAGGGAAAAACTCAAAGAGACAAGGTAAACTTAGTCTACGAGAGGGCTAAAAATTTTCTTCACGGTCTCTCTCCATCTTTATATATACAAAGGCAATCAAACATACCAGTTCCAAAGTAAAAATAAGAGTAAATGGACGATCAAATTTCATCTAGGGAACACAACTACACTTAAGTGTACTCGAGTACATATAAATCTAAGTTACACCACCCTATATCTTTTCAGGTCTCTCTTCAAAGAAAAATGGCAAAATGATTCAATGATGGGATTACATTTAATGCTCACATTCACATCACGCTTTGGCTAAACCAAAACAGCACACACCATCTAACGTCTGGACGGACTTCCTTTAAGGCCAACCACTATTATTTAAAGACCCCCATGTCATCAAACATGTTTAGAGAGTCTTAGGAGCAACTGTTGTGTGACGACCAAAGATCCAAGAACCAATGCTCCGTTCCACCCAAAGGTCCAATAACACGAGGCCCATTATCTAGCTTACTTTATGAAGGCCAATGTATAAATACCTTTGTAAAGGGTTCCCAAGTACACACTCTCTAATCTCAACTTTCACTACCAACTATCTTGAACCCAAAATATATTTAGGTGTTGGAGTACTAACTATACAGATATCCCCCTTAGGTAAACCATATCGGAGATGGAAAACACCGGTTAATTGCAATACACCAAACTCACACCTTTGGTTCAAGAAGCAGCATGATGGAAACCTTCTATCTACAATGTCACATCGATATAGTACAACGAAAGCTCCTCTTCATCGCAGTTTCTGCAATCATCGTCATTTTTGGTTCTGCGACAGAACACTTTTGCTAAAAAAATAGCTTATGCAAGCATTTTTATAATTGCTTATTTTTATAAGCCTATGTGTTATAAGCTCAAAATAAGTTGTTTATCCAAATAGACCCTATAATAATATATATTTAAAAAAATTATATGTCATATATATGGTCTCATGCTATGGAACCGTTGAATACTCAACACATTATCAATTTTCCATGACACTTGTTTAATATAGTCACAAGATAATGTTTATTAATTCATTCCATATTCGATTACGTAATCTAGTCTTCAAAAATTCCAAAACATAAAAAGATTGTTCATCAATTGGTGTAAGACAGACAAAATCAATGTTAACTTAAAAAGTGTAAAGAGTAATGGATAAACAATATTGTCTTTTAGTTTCAATCAAATTTTTTGAAAGATCACTTATTCTTTTCAAAGATGTTTGTTCAACACTCATACCCATATCAATGATGTAAGTCTCGAGTTAATTTCAAGCATCACCAAACTAGTTAGACAAAATTCACTTGGATAAAACTTTGCAAACTCAATCACATTTGCCTTGTCAAAAGTAGAGAATAAGTTGTTTGAACATTAACAAGTCATACAAATGAGCAACCGACTATTCATCATATCAAAATGATTGCGAAGTTCCTGAAATTGTATTTCCATAACATTATAATATAGTTCAATGAGATAATGATTTCTTATTGTGATAGATTAAGCATTACCTCTATGTTTTGATTTTCTACAAAAGAATATATCATCCATATTCATAATGTGAATAACATGCTCAGTGCAAAATAAACTTACTTTCTCCAATAAAGGTTATCATTCATCATCTCTTAGAGTTTGTAATAGTTTCTTTGTGACGTTAACCAAGTTCATAGCATTAATTAAGTCTTGATCTTTCTTTTGCAATGCTTGTGGTAATTCATATGAAATACCTAAGAGATTTTTCATCAAATGCAAAATTAGTGCAAAATTAAAATTATCCATTAAAATTAAAATATCATTTGATTCGCCTCTTGCATTTAGTGGATACGTCTTCTTTTAACATTTCAAGAACAATGGTGGCAGAATTATGCATCAGTATCAAATTCTCTAAAGTAACATAGTGAGAACTCCAATGATTATTAGCAGGTCGCTTGATACTGGGGGTGGAAATAGGCCAGGTAAGGCCATGCCTTAGAAGGCCTGAGTTTGGCCTACAATAACTTTAAAAGGTCTAAGTCTGGCCTATGGACCATTATAAGCTCTCTTTTTTATTTGCCTCAGCCTCTTTAAAAGTATGACCTGACCTGAAATCCTATTTAAAATCCTATTTCACATTACAAATTTCAAATAATTCATTTTGCCTATGAAGCCTTATAAGTTGGCCTAGATATGCATATATATATATATATATATATATATATATATATATATATATATATATATATATATATATATATATATATATATATATATATATATATATATATATATATATATATATATATATATATATATATATATATATATATATATATATATATATATATATATATATATATATGTCGGCTTATTTTTTAATATATATGCTTATATAGGCCAAGTAATTTAGCATATTTTAATTATATATGAATATATAGGTCAGCCTATAAGGCTTCAAAGGCTTTTTTAATAGCCTAAGCATGATCTATTTAATTAAATAGGCATTTAAAACAGCATAAACTTGGCCTTTTTATAAAATATACTTAATGCATCTTTTGGTCCCTTTACTTAATTTAAAGTATTAGTTTGGTCCCGTAACTAATAAACGTTACTTTTTAATCTCTTAAAAATTATTTCGTTAACCAATTTAGTCTTTTCTGTTAAATTTTGCTCAAAAACATTTACTTTGCTTATGTGGCAGTCTACTTGGAAAAATTGTACATAAATGAGTCAGCAAACTCATTTAACCTAAAAAATTAATTAAAAAAAGTTGATTTTCTTCTTGTTCATCTTCTTCCCCCTTCATCTTTTTCATAAACTAGAAAAAAAATTAAAGTTGAAGTTTTTTCTAACTTTCAGTGCAATATTTTCATCATCTGTTAATGATTTCTTTGCAACAAATGTCCAATCTAATTAAAATAATTGTCCAAGGATCACTGGTTGAAGAATGACGCGTAGGTCATCTTCAACCTCTAGACACCTGCGTGTGAGATTTTTATGAGTTTCTTCAAATGGAAAAATTAGAAACTCGTAGGGGTATCATTGGATTCATATCTTCCAGACGATTCTAACCATACCCTCACGAAAAATTTATGTAAAATACAGCGTACTCGATTTTAAGATTACCAGAGAAAAATTACAAAACTAATTTTATAAATAAATGCTCAAATCACAACAAAAATAAAAACTAAAAGAAGTATGAGACTCATTGGGAGAAGAACTACAGGTTAGTAACTTGTTTGGATCGATTTGGTTAAGAATTCTACTTGAACGAAGCTCAAGAAAATGGCTATGAAACTGAGCTTCTATAGCTCTAAATATGGTTTGATTTTCTTGGTTTAAGTGATGGAGAGTTTGTATAATTGTGTAGAATGATGAATCAGAAAAGAATTTGAGGTGAGAAGGCTTGAAATTATGAAATGAATTTTCAAATTTCCAAGCTTTGGGTGAACTTTGGCAGAGTGATTGTGGCTCTCTAAAGCTTGGAAAATGAATGGAGAGTGGTCTGCTATTTATAGGAGAGTGAATGGTGATGAGAATTGGAAGAATAATGAGGTTTGGAGGGAAATCACATGGAGCCCGAAAGTGAGAAAAGTGTGACTCTAATCCACCTAAAAAATCATCCAATTCTTGTTTTTTGAGGCTTAAACAAGTTTGAGCAAGTTTTCTAATCATGTTTAACTCAAAAACACGCACATCTTTGGTTATTAGAAAACACATTATGGAAATTAGATTTTGGCTTCCATGAGAAACTTCAGTTCCAAGGTATCCACTTTGAATGCATGGTGCACTCAACTCAGGAAGCTTTATGGGATAATTATTAAAGTATTTGAAAGATCATATCACCCTCTTTGCAATATGCCAAGAAAGACATCATTTAGATGATTGGTCTGGAAGTTATGTCCATTTGAAATCATAAAAAATAATCTGACTTTTGTACTTAGAAATATTTCTAAGTGTTGAGCTTCAAAATAACCTATAATATCTTGCAAACTTACAAGTCTTTCAGCTCAAAATTTGATCTTGATCCTTGAAGAGGAAATGAAGTAGACCCTTCAAAATTAATTGTGAAATTTAGATCATTCAAAAATCATAAAAATTGAAAGAGTTATGGCCTTTGGAAGATAATGAACAAATTTGGAGAAATCCACAAATGACCTATAATCTTTTCAATTCTTTAAAGACTTTCCATATCTTTTCAAGCCTTGCACCTTGAAAAAAATTGTAGTAGACATCCTTAAGTTTATTTTGAAAAAATAATGAGCTCAAGGATATAAAAGATGACCAAGTTATGATCCTTTGAAGTCACACAACAGAGTTTGATAGCCTTTTCAAAGGACTTGTAATCTTCTTCAAACATTAGTGATCTTTCATTCAAAATTAGCCTTAGATCCTTGAAGAGAAGTTATTAAGGACTCTTCAAAGAGAATCAGGGCTTTAGAATCAACCTAAAATCTCAAAAAATGAGCAAGATATGGTCTTTGGAAGTCAACCAACCCTTACTCAGAGAGTGCCAAAATAACTTGTAACCCCTTTCAACTTTTTGATGACTTTCAATGCACAAATGGATCTTGACATGTAAAAATAAGTTAGTGTAGATAATGATAAGAATCCATAGAAAAAAGAACCAACTCAAAATGTTGAAAATTGAGATAGTTATGCACTTGTGATCATTGAATCGAGTACTTGTTCAATTAGGTCAAACTTGTTGAATCAACCTTGAATCTTTTGAACTTTATTTGCAAAATGAAGCATGATGGATCACATTAGACCTTGAAATGATGTTATCTTGAAGAACACCCAAATATGGAGCTTAAGTCTCAATGAAACTTGTTGAAGAAGATATGGAAATAAACACATGAACTTATGAATCTTCTTAATGAATTCCATTCTCTTTGAAGCAAGCTTGACCTAAATGAAATTGAGATAGTTCTTTAAACTAAAGAATTGTGATGTCATCAACATATCCTTCAAGCTCAAACTCTTGGACTTCATTGAACAAGTATTTAACTAAGGATTATCCCTCAAAACCCTAGGTTATATGGTGAGATGGATGCAATTGTGTCATCACCTACAATATAAACATCCAAAGAAACATGTATACACATTTTGATGTTAGTTAAGAGTTAATAAACATAAGATGCACATGTACAAGATACACAACTCAAGGTGATTGATGATTCCTCAAGAGCAAACTTAGAGATAGGAGGAAGTAGAAGAGAGAACTAACCTTAATGTGTCATCTTGATGTATTGTGATGATATGAGATGATGAGAGATCTTAGGGTCAAAATTTGGGGTATAACAAAAATTAAATTACATTAGGTTAGGTTAGGATTTTCCTTTAAATACACCTCTGCAGTCCATGGGCTTCGATATTCTGAGTCCAAAAGTTTCATGATCCACAAGCTGAGTGATGCACCTTTTTTCATCCAATCTCCTTAAATCTTGGAACAAACCAATACATAGTTTCCTAATTTGTCTTCAAGGCCCAAATTAGTATCTTGTGTACAGCTAAAGATGTAATATGTTCCAAAACAAATCTTCAAGACCTGCGAGAATATATGAGACAAATCCCAAAATAAATCTCCCAAATAGAAATAAATCTGTGAAGATTTAAAAACAACAGCGCCTTAACTGCTACACCAAAACATGATGTTGTGACATCTTATTGGGCATCTGATCAAAAACCATGTTTCAAAAAAATGTTGTCAATTCCCTAA